TCAGTCGCCTAAACGACCTGTGTCGTCTCCACTTCGGCCTGCTGCCAGACCTCTCCGACTGGCACAGTCTGCTCCGCCCTTGGTGTTAGGATCTTTGATATGGACATGGATGATATTAGCTCTGCATTGTATGTGCTGTATGTCGATGACTCTAGTGTGACTGGTTCCTATTACCCTGTGTTGCCTAGTCTAGTTGTGCCCAGTGTGCCTAGTTCAGGCTTCCCTGCTGCGTCAAGCGTAGGATCCCCTGCCTTGTTAGCCTTGGGTCCTCCCTCGCTCCTCCGACCCCTGTCGCCACTGTCGCACTCCCCTTCACCCTGGACTCCGGCGCTTCCAAGTGTTTCTTTCAGGACTCCACTACGCTTACGCCGCTTGCCGCTCCCGCCGCAATTGCTCTTGCAGACCCTGTAGTCGCCCGTAGCTCCACCACCCTTCCCTATCCGGCGGTTCCCTCAGGTTCCCTTACATCCCCTCGTTCTCTAGGAACCTAGTTGGTGTCGTCTGCCTCCAAGACCTTGGCATCACCACTACGTTCCCTGGTCACGAGCGGCACGAAGTCTGTACCGAGGCTGCCACTGGTGCCCCCCTCACCACGTTCCCCCGGGACCCGGTGTCTAGCTTGTTCACGCTGCACACCGCGTCCCCCCCGGTTGGGATGCCTCTCCACGTGGCAGCATCTACCCAGGTTGCTACGGCTTGCTCGTGTCGGTCGCTTACTCACTTGTCGCTTCTATGGCACCACCGTCTAGGTCACCCCGCTCTTACCCGTCTCCGTCACATGTCCCAGAACGGTCTTGTCTTAGTTCTCCCTGACTCCTTCCCCGCGCTCACCTCCTCACCAGTGCCGCCGCGCACGCCCTGCATCGAGGGCCGGCTCCGCCGTGCCCCTCACTCCTCCTCGTACCCCCCCACTGCCGCACCGCTGCAGACCCTGTTTATGGACGTCTGGGGCCCCGCCCCCGTCCATGGGCCGTGTCGCGAGCGCTTCTTCCTAGTGCTTGTCGACGACAACACGCGCTACACCACCGTGTTTCCCCTGGAGGGGAAGGCTTATGTGCCTGCCGTTCTTATCCCGTGCTTGTCTCTGCGCGTTTGCACCGAGGTCTCCTTGTGTTGCGTCTTCACTCTGACCGCGGTGGTGAGTTTGCCTCTAGTTGCCTTGGTCGCTTCTGTCGTACGGAGGGCATCACCCAGACGTTCACCCTGCCGGACTCCCCGCAACAGAATGGGTTCGCTCAACGATGCATCGGTTTGGTCATGGAGGTGGCTCGTACCTCCATGATCCACGCCGATGCACCCCATTTTCTGTGGCCGTTCGCCGTTCGCTATGCCACTCACCAGCTTAACCTGTGGCCGCACCCTCAGCGGCCGCAGGTTTTACCGACCCTCCTGTGGACCGGGTCCCCTGGTGACGTGTCTGCGTTCCACGTCTTTGGCTGCCTTGCTCACGTTCGTAGCTCTGGCACGGACAAGCTCACTGCCCGCACTGTCCCCTGTGTCTTCCTAGGTTTCTCCCTCGACTCGTCTGACTGGCAGTTCTACCACCCGCCTTCTCACATTTTCTTTCACTCTCGCAATGTCACTTTTGACAAGTCCGTCTCCTACCACCGTTTTCCCCATCGTGGTCCCCCGGTCACTCCCCCCCAGTTCCTGGTTCCCCCCCTCCCCCGGTCGCCCCTGTTCCCCCCCCTCCCCACCGTGCCCCGTCTGGTGTGTCTCACGTCACCCCCCCCCCCTGTCAGTTGTCCCAGCTGTGGAGTCTGCTAACTCTCATGGCTCGGCGGAGTCTCTTTCCCTGCTTGTCCCTGCCCCGGTCTCCCCTCCCCTGTCGTCGCCGTTGCTGTCCCAGCCGCAGCCGCCTCCGTCGCTGCCACCACAGCCGCAGCCACCGTCGTCACCGCCGCTGGTGTTTGTGCGTTTTGGGGGTGAAGGGAGCGGGCTGGAGCTGGTTCTGGAGAAGTCTCTGGGGGTGCTGGCGTGGGGCTTCTCGGAGGGAGCCGTGTTGTCGCTAGAGGTTCTGGTGTTGGAGTCGGGCAGCAGTCACAGCCGTCGCCGCCAGTGTTCGCTCTTCCCCTCCTCAGTCTTCCTTCCTCTGACCGCCTACCGGTGCCTCCCCCGTCGCCGCCGCCTCCACCTCCGTCAGTAAACGGCCCAGTGTTTCCTCCCCCAGACTCCTCTCCGGCTTGTTTCCCTCCCCGTTCTGCTCCTGTGTCTCCTCCCCTCTCTCCTGACCCGACTCCTCCTTCTCATGTCTAGTCTCGTCGTCCGTCTTGTGCCTGTCCTACCTCCCCTATTCCGTGTTCTCACCCTATGTTGCTTCCCTCCCACGCGTCTCGTGCTCCTCCGCTCCTCCCGTCTCCTCCCCCGTCGTCACTTGCTGTGGCCCCGCCTCTGTTCTCGGACTTCTTCCGTATTGCGCGTCCCCTTGTTCCTCGTGTCCTTGCCTCTCTCGTTACCGACCCGTCTGTTCCTGTCTCGAGTCACTCGGCTCTTGTCGCTGCTGTCACTGACTTCGCCGGTACCCGCCGCCTGGACTACGCCACCGCTCTGGTCTCTGACCCTGTCTGCCCTCCGGCCGTCGGGGGTGTGGCTGTTCCTGGCAGTGACGTCTTCGAGGACAGGCAGCTCGAGCTCGCTTTCCTGTCTGAGGCTGCTCCCCATCTCTTTTCCATGCTACTAGTCCTGAGGGTGACCCAGACGCCCTTGACATCCCGACCCCTTGCACCTGCGCTGAGGCCACCTCGGGACCCTGGGCCTCTAAGTGGATAGCTGCCATGGAGCAGGAGATGGCATCTTGGAGATCCACCGGTACCTTCGTCGACGCAGTTCCCCCACCTGGGAGGAACGTAGTCGATGGCCGGTGGCTCTTCAAGGTGGAGCACCCTCCTGGAGAGCCACCTGTCGTCAAGGTGCGCTACTCGGGGCTTCAATCAGCGTGAAGGGGTGGATTTCTTTCAGACCTTCGCCCCGACCCCGAAGATGACCACTCTTCGGGCACTACTACACGTAGCAGCACAGCGTGACTATGACCTACACTCCCTAGACTTCTCCACAGCTTTCCTCCAGGGCAGTCTACTCGAGCAATTCTACCTGCGCCGCTCCCAGGGCTTCTCCGGTACCTTTCCCCCTCGCACCGAGTGGCTCATCGAGCGCCCCGTCTACGGCTTGCGCCAGGCGCCCCGTGAGTGGCACGACATGCTGCGTGCTACACTTGCTGACTTGCAGTTCTTCCCTTCGTCTGCAGACCCCTCGCTCTTCGTCTGTTCCAGCCAGACTCCGTTCTACATCCTGGTCTTTGCTATTGCAGACAGAGACGCGCTGGCCTCCGTGAAGGCTGAGTTGCTGAGGAGACACACCTACACTGACCTAGGAGAGCTGCGCCGCTACCTTGGCTTACTGATCTCCAGGGACAGAGCAGCGCGCACCATCACTCTCTCACAGTCACACTTGGTGCGCCAGGTCCTTCAGAGGTTCGGCCTTCAGTTCTCTTCTGCACAGCCCACCCCTCAGCCAATAGACCACATACTTTCTTCCCCAGTCCGAGAGGAAGCTGTAGAGCCTAGTGGTCCCTACGCAGAGCTGGTGGGTTGCGGCATGTACCTGATGACTTGCACTCGTCCAGATCTCGCATACCCTCTCAGCATCCAGGCTCGCTTTTTGGCCCATGGCAGAAACCGACCACAGCACTGGTCGGCCGCTAAGAGGGTTTTGCGTTATCTAGCAAGTACATCAGGCATGGCACTAGTGCTAGGAGGACGTAGACCAGTGGTCCTTACCGGGCACACAGACGCTTCTTGGGCAGACGACGCCGAGACTCTCAGGACCTCATAGGGCTACTGCTTTAGCCTTGGTGCAGGTGCCATCTCGTGGAGGTCCACCCGCTCCTCGTCTGTTGCCCAGTCTAGCTGTGAGGCTCAGATCTACGCTGGTGCCATGGCGGCACAGGAGCTCCGCTGGCAGACCTTCTTGCTCACTGACCTGGGTGAGCGGCCTAGCTCTGCCCCGGTTCTGTACGCTGACTACAATTGTACACAGGGTAGGGGTGGTTGGGGAATAATGTCCATGAACTCGTGAGTCACTTGAAGCTCCCAGCTAGCTGCGGAATCTGTCGAGTAGTTCTGGTAACTCTTAGTTCTCAAACGCTTCGCGCTGTACTTCTTCAAAACTTCTAATCCGTCATGACGCTCCTCTTAGTCTCACGCCCCTCTCCCCTCCTCGCGCTGCCGTTGCAACAAGCACGCTCACCCCTCGCGTCGCAGCGATCACCCCATCCGTTTCGTTCGGCGGGTATACAGAGTACGCGAACGGAACGGTTGTGGACGCCAGCGGTGCCGTTGTAACTCCCACCAAGAACGCAGATGGATCTGAAACCCTAGGAGCGTACACATCGTACCCTAATGGCACGGTTGTTGGTCCCAACGGCGTGATCAGCTCCACACGGCTCGACGGAAGCACTGTTATTGGCACCACGACTTTCTACCCGAATGGCACCTTTGCCGATGCCAGTGGCAAGACTCTCACGCCTGTTCGTAACGCGGATGGACCGATGACTGTAGGAGACGTGACTGTCTGGAGTAATGGTACTGTTGTCATCCCCAGCAAGCCTGCTGGTACGGTGACTTTCTCCCCTGTTTTACGTCCCCCATGTTTCTTCCGTTGTTCTAGGTTCCTTTGTCTAGTTTCTGCCATTTTTGTTTCCTAATCATCTGCCTCATCCGAAGTCAGATCATCACGAAAGCACTAATGGTCGTTTCTTGCTGTCTTCTCCCCTGGCAGGCCACCTTGCGTCACCTGCTGGTATTGTCACTGCCATCACAGTGGTGGTTGGTTTTTCCTTGCTGCTTGTGTAGAAGCCGGAAGTGCATAGTAACGCAAGTGTATACTTGGTTGTGTTCTCGTTTATTCAATTTCTTCAAATCTATGTGCACAGCTCACTGCATATATGTATATACAACATATCCCCAACGATCGAGAACTACGGGGTATGGCGCGAACTACTCGCGACTCGGCCCAGCCATGGCGATGTTACCCTAGGAGAAAATTTGCTGGAGCAACTGAGCGACTCAAATTGGCTCACCTGGACACTTCCTAAGAGACATTCATCAGTGTGGCGTGCGGACTAGGATAAGTATATAAAACTTCCGCTGTACTAGGAATCGTTACTTCTTTGTAGGAGTTGGCGCGGTTTCTGACAGCTAGTCGGCAGCGGATATCTCTGCTTGAGTTTCTGACACGCCTCTCCGTTGTCCAGTCGAGTCGAAGACGTTCATTTTCGTTTCCAAATTCCGTAGTCTTCTCCGAAGACTGTTCCTGATGTCGCCTTATCAATAAACGCTTGCTCGCCGCTCATCGCTCGTATCGCGATATATGGTATTGCGATAGTAACGCGATAATTATGCACCAGTAACGCGACAGTATTGTGATAGTATCGCGAGAGTTATGGAGCTAGAAAACGAGCCACTGTAGCAAACTTTGATGGCGCGGGCGAATTAAAATCGGAGTAGCCGTCACTTTCGCCGTGTCATGCTTCTGAGCCAGCTCGAACAACGTTGAACAGAGCTGCAATAAGACGAGAAGCTCCAGCAGTTTTCAGGCGTTTCAAGAAGCATAGTGCATGCTTCCGAGCTGGTTCAAAAGGAGCAGCAATGAGGACGGTGAGCCAGTCTAAGCATATGAGATGCTTCTGAGCTCGCTCGAACAGAGCAGCAACGACACGTAGAGGCGCTTCCCGAAAGCATAGTGCATGCCTCCGAGCTGGGCCGGACGGAGCAGCATTGGCGATGGGGGAACGAAGGAGATTCTTCTGCACCCGGCTTGAAATGAGCAGCAATGAGACAGGATTTAAGGCGCCTCCGAAAGCATAGTGCATGCTTCTGAGCTGGCCTGAAGGGCCACCAATGGCGATGGTGGGAAATTCGGGCGGATTGGAACCACCGGAAGTGCGGAGCGGGGGAGAGGGTAGGCGAGACGAAGGGAGAGAGAGTAGAGGAGAGGAGGGAAGCGGTAACAGGGGAGAAGTGAGAGAGGAGGATAGGAGACAGGGATTAGGTGACGATAGCAGATATGGGGAGGTGGAGAGTGGAGGAGAGCGCGGGAGAGATAGAGCAAGTAGGGAAGGGGAGATAAGAGGAGAGGAGGGATTGGGGAGCCGGGAAGAGCGAGAGGAGGATAGGAGACAGGGATTAGGTGACGATATCAGGTATGGGGAGACGGAGAGTGGAGGAGGGCGCGCGGGAGATAGAGCAAGAGGGGAGATTAGAGGAGAGGAGGGAGGGAGGGATAGAGGAGAAGAGGTAGGTAGCCCGTTTCATAGTAATCAGCTGCAGCAACAGCAGCAGGAACAGGAGAACCCGCAGCAGCAGCAGCAGCAGCAGCAGCAAGAGCCAATATCCACGGGAAGAGCATTGGCGGGAGGGGTGGGGGCGGCAGTGCAGGCGTGTGGAGGCCACGTGGCTGCCGCCTTGCACAGCCAGGAGAGGCTAGACGCGGCTCTGGGGCGACTGGCAGCAGGTAGGTGGGTGTATTGGTGCGGGCGGGTGCTGGTGCAGGCGGGTGCTGGCATAGGCGGGTGCTGGCATGGGTGGGTGCTGGCATGGGCGGGCGCTGGCATGGGCGGGTGCTGGCATGGGCGGGTGCTGGCATGGTTGGTTATTATTGTAGGTGGGTACTGGTGCAGTTGGGTACCAGGAGACACGTGGTGCGTTAACTCATCACTGGCCAACGACCAGCCATCACAGCTAGTACTGGTGCGAGTGGGTACTGTTGCAGGTGGGTACTGGTGCAGGCGAGTACATACCCTTAATGCCTCACTTGCTCTTGATCCCCATTCACGTCATCCCCCCTGTTGCGGCATGTCAGAGCTGAACGGGGTGTTTGAGGCATGCCCCATGCTAGTGATGCGGCCATGCGCAGCTCCCATCGCCACTTTTCTTCCCCGTCCTTCAATCTACCCTCAGAGCTGGACGGCATGTTGTGTTGGAGGGCCTGCGCATGCCCGTCATGCTGCCAGGCACCACTCACATCCCCCCTGTTGCGACATGTCAGAAATAAACGGGGCGTTGTGGGCCCGCCCGCACATGGCCGTCATGTGTTGGGTGGGGGGCCCGCACATAGCCGTCATGCTGCAATGCAGCACTCGCATCCTCAGTATTCTTCTTCCCCATGATTGAATCCACCCTCTGAGCTGGACAGCACACACCACACACGACTGCAGGGCCTGCCCATTCCGGTGATGCCGGCCTGCACCACTCGCACTGCTGCCATGCAGAGGAGAGGGCACGCACTCAACTCCACACACCCTAGTGCCCTGTCACTGCCCACCAACCCCCTATCAGAGCAGGACGGCATCCCAGAGGGCCTGCCCATGCCAGTGATGCCGCCATCCACCACTCGCATTGCTGCCCTTACTGACTTTCACTTGCGTTTACCCTGTCTGCCCTAACCCCATCAGAGCTGGACGGCATACTAGAGGGCCTGCCCATGCCGGTGATGCCACCATGCACCACTCGCATCGCTGCCATGCAGAGGAGAGTGCACGCGCTCAACTCCTCTCTTTCTCGAATACATGTATGTCCCTCTGCTCTCTATCCGTATGCTCAACGATTCAAGCACATTTGTGTTCCATGTATATATGTGTACACCGTCATCAGAACCGCCTTTCGGCTTCAACCCCGTCAGAACAGAACCGTCCAAGTTTCGGCTTTTCTTGACAATGGCGATCCCCATCAGCACCTCTGCATGCTTCTTATCATCTCCTCCTTCCGCTGCATACATGCCACTATTGCACTCTTGTCCACTTCTCCCCCCCTACCTTCCTTCCCCCCCCCCCCAACCCCTATCAGGTGCACATTGAGACAATGGAGGCTCCATGCCTCATATCTTCTCCTCTTTCCGTTGCATGCATGCTGTTATTGCACACATGTCCACATCCCCCCTCCCCGTCAATCCCACCCCACACCCCCCGATCCGCATGGGGCCCGCATGGAGAAAGTTAAGAGGCACTTCCTTTTTTCATCTCATCTCCTCTTTCCGTTCCAAGAATGCTGCTGTTGCACACGTGTCCACATCTCCCCCTCCCCCTCCTTCCCCGTCAGACCCGCATGGAGACAATGAGGAGCCACCTCTGCATGCTTCTTATCATCTCCTCTTTCCGTTGCATACATGCAGCTATTGCACATGGATCCACATCACCCCCCCCCCTCCCACTCCCATCAGACCCGCATCGAGACAATGAAGAGGCACCTCCGCTTCCGCAACGTGTGCGGGGAACAGCACTCAGATGGGACAAATGATGCCGCCCAGGAACAGCAGCAGCATCAGCATCATCATGGCCTGCCTTTACTGCCCGCTCTTACATGTATGCCCCACACCTCTCACATGCTTCACATGTCTCATGTATGCCCCACATCTCTCATGCCTCACATAACACATGCATACTGCACACCTCACAGGTATGCCCCACATCTTACAGGTATGCTCCACATCTCTCACGTATGCCCCACACCTCTCACATGCATGCTTCACATCTCTCATGTATGCCCCACGTCTCCCATGCCCCAAGCCTCTCATGCTTATCACATGCGTGAGATCATGACTCAACCACATCCATTTCAGTCTATGTTTCAGTCTGCCCTTTCATCGTCCTCTCCTTGTCCCTCTTCGCACATTTCACTCCCCACACCTCCCCCCACTGCAGCTTAATTTCCCCATCGGCATATCTCCCACCTCACATTGGCTGTTGCTCTCACCCCTTTCTCCCCCTCAATGTGTAATCCCTGGCAGCTCTCACCCAATCGACAGTCTTCATGCCATCACAGCATAACTCTTCATCCAATACCGCTCCCCTCCCACCAGTCGAATCACCATCTACAAGGGAACCCTCTCCCCCTCTCCCTCCCATCCTTTCTCCTCGTGCCATTTCTCCCCCTTCTCGGTCACGGAGAGTGACACAGTAGACGCAAAAAAGTTACCTTTTATCCCATTCAGCTTTCACCGCTTATCACAAACGTGCGAAGAAGACTGCATGGCAAGGCCAAATTCCTACGTTAATATGATGTACCCTTCACTTGAAAGTGCAGAGGTACAGATTACTCTTTAGTTTGTGGATGTGTTCTATGAGGATAAGTGCTTTAAAGTGTGCGTAATCCTGCTGTTTATTTGTACATACTGTTTATGATGCCTCCCAGCAACAACAGCAGCAGCAGCATCAGCATCATCATGGCCTGCCTTTACTGCCCACTCTTGCATGTATGCCCCACATTTCTCAAGCCTCACATCTCACATGTATGCCCCACATCTCACAGGTGTGCCCCACACCACTCACATGTATGCTTCACATCTCTCATGTATGCTTCACATCCCTCATGTATGCTTCACATCTCTCATGTATGCGTCACATCTCTCATGCCTCACATCACACATCCATACTGCACACCTCACATGTATGCCCCACATCTCTCATGTATGCCCCACATCTCTCATGTATGCCCCACATCTCTCATGTATGCCCCACATCTCTCATGTATGCCCCACATCTCACAGGTATGCCCCACATCTCACAGGTATGCCCCACATCTCACAGGTATGCCCCACATCTCACAGGTATGCCCCACATCTCACAGGTATACCCCACATCTTGCATGCCTATCACATGCGTGAGGTCATGTCTCTACCACATCCATTTCAGTCTATGTTTCAGTCTGCCCTTTCATCGCCCTCTCCGTAAACCCTCTTCTTGCTTTTCACTCCCCACACCTCTCCCTGCTGCTGCCTCGTTTCCCCATCTGCATATCTTCCCCCTCACATTGGCGGTTGCTCATAACCCTTGCTCTACCCCTTTCTTCCCCTCCACGCGCGATCCCCTCTCAGCTCTCGCCCAATCAGCAGTCTTCATGTCATCACATCATAACTCTTCATCCAATGCCACTCCCTCCCCTCCCACCCATCGAATCACCATCTACAAGGGAGCCCTCTCCCCCTCTTCCTCCCATCCTCTCTTCTCGTGCCATTTCCCCGCCTTCTCGGTCAAGGAGGGTGACACAGTAGACGCGGAAAGTTGCAAAAGATTCCATCCGACTTCCACCTTTTGTAACAATTGCGCCGTGAATGCTAATTGGCACTGCGACCGACCGCCCCACGCCTTCAGGAACTTCCCTTCACTTCGAATGTAATGCAAAAGGAGATCCAAGTCCTGCTACATCAAAATGTGTTGTTATTTGTACATAACTACTGTTTTGTGCATGTATTTTTAGGGGTAAACGTACCTCTAAAAGTCTTACGGAATACATGCTCAAGGCACACTCTGGGAAGAGCACGGCCATCACGGCGCATCCACGTGTACGGAGCTGCTGACTGGATTTGCCTGAGTGGCCGCCGTGCTGATTTTCCCTGGCGAAGACTCGTCGTGGGGTGGGGATTTTCCCCCATCATTTCCTCCTGCTCGTGTCGAATCAGCTTCGTCGAAGTTGATTTTTCCTGAATTATGCGGCCGCTTTCGGATCTTTCCTGTTTCGCCAGCTAGATCCGCAATCACTGGCGATTCCCCTTTTTTTTTTCTTCTGATTGGCCAAAGAATTTCCGCCACTGTTGTGTATTCGATACTCTACACGTGCGGCCATCATTTTGTTGCAGTCGAAGATTCGATGACCTGGCTCTCCGCAAAAATCGCACATGAAGTTGGCGTTTTTTGGATGTGGCCGCCCGTCGAATCTGTCGATCTCCATCGGGTCGGCGAACGTGGGGTGCGCCAAGCGGTCGCCCTGTCGCGTACTGCCAATGCGCGACCGTCGTGTTCCGGCGTTTACCATGTCAACCCGTTTCGCTGCCGGTACGACATCATTGTAGCTCGTGTAATTTGTCGATGCTACTTGTCGTTTGACTTCGGTCTTCAGCTTAGCAAGGTACGATTGTACTTTTTCCCCTTCAGTCAGGTTGAGAATTCGGTAATAAAATTCTTCCATCTGCTGCATGCATTGCGCGACACTTCCGAACTGTCGATGGTGATGAATGTTTTTCCCGGGCAAGAGAACCCGAATTTATTTGCTCGAAACGTTTCACCAAGTCGGTGCAAAACGGCTACCACGTGGCTTCGCCGTAGATGAATGTACTGTTGCCGCCGATCCACTCGAATGCCGGCCCTTGCGTTAGTGTTGCCATGAGTCGCACGCGCAGACCATCCCCAACCGGCGAGCTCCATCCGATGCATGCGAAGTAGATCTCCATGTTGGCGATCCATCTGAGAACGTGAGAATTCCGATCGCTTGGATCGAACGGCTCGGGTGGGCGAGGCTTCGGAGCCTCGAGCAACTACTACGACTGCTGCGTCGTCGCATTTATTGTTTCGTGCTGCGCGCAGGCGAGTCGAGTTACTCGATCAGACTCGTTTCGCCAAGCTTTGCAATCAGCTCGCATCTCCTCCTGTAGGGCGGCGATGCAGGTGAAGAGCTGCTGGGTAACTTTGGCATTGTTGAAGGTCGCCATCCTCTTCAAAAGACGCGCGGATGGGTTGATTCAAAGGACGCGGAGCTGGTGCTTACCAGAATCGGCGCCGAATTTGTCGCCCCTGTCATGTTTTCGAGGTAGGTTTTCCCGCTGCTGCTGCTTAGCTGAGCGCGGCCGAATGAGAAAAGCTTTGATTACCAAGTGTTATAGGATCAAATCAATCGATACAAGGAGCTTTTATACGTCCAAAGTGAATCAGGTAACTAGGTTTATCCTATCCAAAGGAAATAGACTCTTCTAGAAATAGAATCACCATGCGTATAGCCACACAAGGCTATTGGCTTTAAGGGACTAAGGGAGGATTACGCTAGATGTAGCGCGCCAATACATCACGTGCCTGGTTAGTGATATAATTATAATAACAGGATACACCAAACGTGAATGGAAAATAAGTAGTAGGAAACCAAATGAGATGAGATACATACCAAAGGAATCAAGATAAAAAGGAGAAAGGAGAAAGAAGTGTAACGAGGTCATACTCTCACAGAACTAAGGTGCTATGTGGGATTGAAGATCTCTCGTGACCGTGCCGCTCGCACGATCAAACTCTCCCAGTCCCATATGGTGCAGCAGATCCTCCAGAGGTTTAGTCTCTAGTTCTCCTCAACACAACCCACCCCTCTGCCTGTGGATCACAAGCTCTCTGCTCCTGTTCCAGCTGAGCCGGTCGAGGCTAATGGTCCATATGCAGAGCTGGTGGATTGCCTCATGTACTTGATGACCTGCACTCAACCAAACCAGGTGTACCGTCTCAGTCTCCTTGCTCGCTTTGTTGTGACAGGCAGGCACCGACCAGTCCGCTAGTCAGCTGCCAAGAGGGTACTGCGGTATTTGGCAAATACATCGGGACTGGGGCTTGTGCTAGGAGGACGGGAGCCAGTGGTGCTTATTGGACACACACATGCGTTACGAGCTGACGACTTAGAGATGCTCAGGTCTTCTCAGGGCTACTATTTTAGTCTTGGTGCTGGTGCAGTCTTGTGGAGGTCCACTAGGTCATCGTCTGTAGCACAGTCTAGTTGTGAGGCAGAGATCTACGCTGGGGCCATGGCCGCTCAGGAGCTCCGTTGGCTGACGTTCTTGCTCACAGACTTATGTGAGCAGCCTAGGTCTGCCCCGGTCCTTTTTGCTGATAGCAGGGCCATGATTCCCCTGTGTTAGGAGGCTTGACTTTAGGGCGGGTGAAGCATATCCAGCTGCGGTACTTTGTGATGCTTGAGTTACAACGCGGTCAGGCTTGTGTGATACAGGGGCCAATACTGCTGATATCTTCACCAAGCCACTTGCGCCTCATGACCATCAGCAGTTTTGTATCAGCTTGGTCTAGCCTCCATAGCAGCACCGCTCCTTGTATCGTGAGTCATACTATACCTGCTTGTACTTGTTGTGCTATACCAGCATGTCTTGTTATACTTGTTGACTGGCCTGGTGGCCTCTTGTCTCAGTGGTCAGACTAGTAGTGCTGCCCTGAGTTGTCTTGCTACCTTCACCAGAGGCCAGACTAGTAGTGCTGCCCTGGTTTGTTAATATCTGCCTCTACCTAGGCTAGGGGGTGTGTCAACAAACATATGTTCAGTATACACATATCTAGTTAGTTTAGATATGTTTGTTATAGCCTAACTACGTCAGTTCTTAGAGGGGACAATATTTGTACTTGTATCTCCCCTCCCCTCTTCCTAGCCACACTATTTCCCGCTATTAACAGTTTTCCCAGTCCACCCTGACTTGAACTACATGCTCTCTTATCCTGACAGCATGTCCTTTAACTGAGAAGCACCACATTTTTTATTTGGCAAGGATAGTGTCGTTGATGGCACTGGTACAGGAATTGTGTCTGTTGCGAACACGGATGGGTTGTACACTGTGGGAGACCTGGCTTGTGGAAAAACGCTACTATCACGGGCAGCAACGGTATTGTTTTCAACATCATGTTGACTCTCAACCCCGATGGGACCTTCTCTGAAACCCTCCCGCCTGCATCCCCAGCCACTTCCTCATCCGGCTCCTCCGCACCTCCCTCTAGCACCCCTGCCCTGCCGCCTCCTAAGCCAGCTGGTGCGTTGCTGATTTTTTATTCTCTTGTTTACTGCTGGTAGGGTTTCATTTATTTTCGAGCCCGCTTGTCCAATTCTGCCGTGTGTTTCCTTCCTTAATCCGTAAGTTTCTTCCTGTCTCCCCCTCTGCCCCTTTTGTTTTCTACTTCTGTGACACTTTCTTGCCGTTCGTCCTCCCCTTGCAAGGTTACCTCGCATCACCTGCCAGGATTGTCCCTGCCCTCACAATAGCTGTTGGTTCTCTCCTACTATTTGCATAGTTACCGCACATGCTCTAGATTTTGCTCTCTTGCGAGCAAGCACTCATGATCAATGTGGTGGTTTATCATCGATACATTCTATAGAGAAAACTTGCTTTAGTTGTAGCGATGGCAGCGTGCTTCATTTCAATTGGGCAATTACAACATTCTAGTCCAAAAAGTACAAACAACAATAATTCATTATTCCTAATTGTTTAGGCTTGGTAGGTGTGCTACAATATTGAATCCTACTATAGAGGGTACAACCCCAATTCTTGTATCCCTCTCTTCTAGTCCAACCCTTTTTCATCTCGTCAACTTCTCTCCATAGCTAAAACCTCTTGCCATTTTCATGGCTCCTTAGCTCTTAGCTCCTACGACATGGTTTCAGAGCAGGGCGATCCTGCTGCGCTGTGTCATCACGCTTCTGCCGCGTCCTCTCTCCCCTCCTGTCAGTTTCGCCCCGCCATGGTGGCTTCGTCGTGCTGCCATGGAGGCCTTGACGCGCTGCTGTGGCGGCCCTGACGTGCTGCCGTGGCGTCGACGCCTGCTGCTGAGACCCCTACTACTGCTGCTGCTGCTGCTGGGTATGGTGGCGTCACGCTCGATTCCGGTGCGTCTGGCTGCTTTTTTCATCACCACACTGTGCTCACGCCGCTTGCCGCCCCTGCCGCAGTCGCACTTGCTGACCCCACCTCCGAGACGGTCGTTGCACGTAGTTCCACTACCCTTCCCTATCCGGCGGTTCCTTCGGGCTCTCTTACAGGCCTGCACATCCCCTCGTTCTCCAGGAACCTCGGCATCACCACTATGTTCACTGGACACGAGCGATACGCGGACTGTCCCGAGGCTGCCACCAGTGCCCCCCTTACCACATTCCCCCGGGACCCGGTGTCTGGCCTTTTTACGCTTGACATCGCGTCCCCCTCAGTGAGGGCGTCCCCCCAGGTGCCAGTGTCTACCCAGGTCGCTGCGGCTTGCTCGTATCAGTTGCTCATTCACCCGTCGCTTCTATGGCATCACCGGCTAGGTCACCCTGCCCTCCCGCGTCTGCGTCACATGTCCCAGCACGGTCCTGTCCTAGGTCTCCCTATGCCACTCCCTGCCCTCCCTCCCTCGCCTTCTCCGCCGTGCACGCCAAACGTCAAAGGCTGGCTATGATGTGCTCCTCACTCCTTCTCGCTTCGCCCTACCACCGCGCCACTCCAGACCCTACACGTGGACATCTGGGGCCCAGCCCCCGTCCCTGGGCTGCGTCGAGAGCGCTACTTTCTAGTCCTTGTCGATGACTACACGGTGTTTCATCTGGAGCAAAAGGCCGACGTGCCTAACGTCCTTATCCCGTGGGTCATGGCTGAGTGCGTCCACCGCGGCCTCCCCGTGCTGTGTCTCCACTCCGACCGTGGCGGCGAGTTTACCTCCGGTCGGCTTGGCCAGTTCTGTCGTGCAGAGGGCGTCACCCTGTCGTACACTCTGCCGGACTCCCCACAGCAGAATGGGGTCGCTGAGCGACACATCGGTTTGGTCATGGAGGTGGCTTGTAGCTCCATGATTCATGCCGTTGCACCCCATATTCTGTGGCCGTTCGTTGTTCGCTACGCCACTCACCAGCTTAACCTGTGGCCGCATTCCCAGCGGCCGCAGGTTTCGCTGACTCTTCTTTGGGCCGGGTTCCCTGGTGATGCGTCTGCGTTCCACGTGCGGGGC